AAGTTCTCAAAGCTCTGTCATAAGGAAGAGTATTTGAGCAAGTTACCGACTAGGTAAGCCAGGATACATAGTACTTCCGCCACTCAAAACAATATGTTGGTAGAGCTGCAAAAAGTTTCAAAGTAATGATTATGATGTTAACAATAAGATGGAATGCAAATAACAACATTACGGGCAAGGAATACAGCAAAATTCAAATTTGAAGTACCATCATCCTGTTATCAATATCCATCTCCTGGATGCAACGAAATACCATGTCAGCCATGCCATCACCTTCAACATCAATAAGATCCTAAAATGGATAATGAAAATAATGTTTAGCTTCCTTCCACATATATCAACCCATCACTTAAAATTCCGGAGAAGCATGGAATAACATTTTAAACCATGCAGTTACAATGTTTCTTCAGTTTGTCTTAAGGACTTCATTAACACTTTATTTGAAACAAATTGAATTGAAGATGATACTCTATTTTTTGCTTTCCTGTTGGAAGGTTGAAAGGTCAAACTAGTTTACAATAACAGAAGATCCATCAATTTAAAAAGTTGCCAAGATAAAAGATGGTCACTGATTAGGTAACAAGTGTCACATAGCATCCGGCGTTATACAGGATTAGCTTTCTTTGGGGGGAAACGTGAACTGCATTTACTCTTCCCCACTATGAGGAACCAGCAAAGCCCGTGCATGTTTATGAAAAGGTATGTTCATGGATTATGAAAGAGGAAAATAAATGGGAATGCATGCTTACTGGAGTAAAAAGAGCCTCAGGTGCCTGGAACCTCTCTGTGCCAACTTTAAGTACCCTCCCATCAGGAAGCTGAAAAAGAAACAAACCTAAACAATGGGTCACTGAATGGCTAAGTTTCTTATGGAAACATGAAGATTTTTTTATCCAAGAGAAGGTGCCATACCTGAAAGAAGATCCAAGGTAGTAGAAAAAATAAAATAATAGTAAATTTATTTTCCAATTAAGAGCTTATTATGGATGGAGCCTACTCACAGTATAATTCTTAACAAGAATAGTAGTCTCAAGCCCTAACTGATATTCTCTCTTGTAATCATAACTGCAGTACAGCAAATACCATTACTCGCCAGAAGAAGTCATAAAGGAATTAAATTATGACACAAGTTATTTCACCTAATGTAGCACAGCTTTTCTTTAATATCCCTGACGGTCTCAAAATCAGCACTCTTATTCATTGCATACCTTCAAAAATTGACTGGCCATCAGAACTCCAGTAATGGTGTAAACTAATCAAATATAGCATGAACTACCACATTTAGCGTATTTCAAATGTGTTGGCAATTACCCTCTTCGAAGTAGCAGATCAACCAAATAAGATGTTATATGGCGCCCTGCTACATTCATTCTTTTTGTGAGGTGAGGGAATGAGTATCCATCAACAACAGGAACCTGCATCAAAGAACTTTCTGATAACACACGGAAGAAAAGTATCTGACGGTTCATGGCAAATACAACTATATGCTATCAAACAAACAAATAGGTGAATTAGACGCTTCGTTTATGACCACATTGACCAGAAGCTGCAAGGAGCAATCTTATTTAGTCAGGGAAACCCAAATGGACTCCTCTGATGCAGAAAAACAGCTCTATATTTGGCAAAATCAATACGGAACCAAGACTACTATAGATCGTAAAGCAGCTATGCCAATGGAAAAACTTACAACATGCGTAACTCCATCACCAGAGTCTATGACTAGCCCAGTCAACAAACCTGCATATATTTTAGAACAGCAATGATGAGCAAATCCATCACATATAGCCCATATTAAAGCAAACTATCTAATTAAACCCATTCTTGTAACAAAAATAAGTATTTACCCGACAAAAATTGCAATATCTGGACTCATGGTGGTCCTTTGCACAATAACCAAAAACATGATTTATGCCCAAGAAATCATATATCAAACTTTCACCTAATGTTTAATGGTACCTTGAGCATACAGTGTTAGAACAGCTTGAATTTGGATGAAGACCCCAGCAAAGTTGTACTTCTCAAACATAGTTTCTACCTATAATGCAAGTATATTCTGAGTATTATTTAAAAATCTTTGAGGCAATACAAAAAGGGAATGTATTCTGTGGGAAAAAAAGCATGAATACAAACCATCTTTTCACGATTTTTCGATGGATTGAGAGGTGGATCTGTCAGCAGAATTTTGCATTCGGTCGGATCTACCTTCAACAGCAGAATGAAATGAAAGCTTTTTCAGTTAATCATGAACTAGCCATAAGCTAAGTATTGTAAAAAAGATTAGCAAGCAAAAGTTAAACCAATAAAAGATCTTCACAGGGAAGTTAACAGTAGAGGAAGCTACTTTCAGTTCGTTGAAAAATGCATGATCCCACACATGCCCCATATCATCCCAGTTTTGCACAATTCCATTGTTGACAGGATAAGATATATCCAACTGATGCCGCAACTTCAAGCAATCATCTCCCACAATAGTATCCTAGAAAAACAGTGTAAAAGAGTTACGCATTCATCAGGAAGCCTGTGAGTCGAGTTACAGAGCTCAATAGTGAAAATGCAGAGCATATAAGAGAAGGATATAAGAAAGAAAAAAATATGACAGAGAAGATTTCGAGTGTCCTGGTTGCAAGACAGACCAGTAAATAAAGAATCCAGGAATATACAATATAAGCATTACTCTAACAATCCTTGAGGTTTTCTGGGAACCAAAATAAGAGTAAACCTTCATTTCACAAGAAGTAGTTATATCATCTAGCTTAGCATGGAACTGCTGAAGCTTAGATTTTCTTTCTCCAAGAAGAACTTCCTAGTTGTCTATAAATGCAAGCGAACTCTTTCACATTATCCATTTTAGAGTAAGGATTAAGAGAGAGACGTTTACCTTCAAGTCTTGTTCCATAAGAGATTCTTCATATCTTAGCATTGGCCTCCCCACAACACAAGGGAATACAGATGTGGGAAAATTCTCACCCGCAAAGCCACACTTGACATACTGCATTTAGATATCAAAATAGTTTAATAAATGTATTCGATCTCCTAGCACCACCATCAGTCCCAAAGAAAATGCTAAAAAAAAAAAAAGGCAAAGGCAATAGCTAGAAGCATGTCATGCTTCAGCAAAAGCTCGGCGTAAACTCTCTTTCACTTCATAAATCAGAAAAGCAGGTTCCACTAGGAAAGGATGCTTGATTAGGTAGGATGATGGTTTCCGTAAACCACACATTTAAGTCAAAGCTTGCATCTTGTGAAGGAACAGATTGACAGAGATTTGGTTTTCAAGAATGAATAGTTCCAAAAAAGAAATAAAACCAAAAGTAGCTTTACAAACAAAAAATAATTTCGTTGAGAACAACACATAAGTCAAAGTTCAATGAAGTAATGCATTTGATCATGCTGAAAGTTTATTTCTCCTTTTCTGATAAATCAAAAATATACTTTATTGTGTTGGGATGAAATGCATCTCAATATAGAGGACTCATGTAGCATACACCCCTAGTGTGGGATTGTAGCACAACCAACTAGTATGGGACTGAAGCGTAGTTGACTAAATTTAATCTACAAGAGAATGAAAGGAACTTTTATTGATATCACACATCGATAGTTTAACCTTCACAAAATAAGAAATTAACTCTAGCTGACGGATCATGATTTAAGCATTTCAGACACAGATAATTGAGACATTTCAGTTCCTGTACGCGTCCTTAGCTGCTTTTTCAGAAGTATATACGCATACGTACAGAGTCACCAAATTTATTCTAATTTTCCCTAATCTATTAAGTTATTGCAAAATTTCATCTATTAAAGCCTAGGATAAAAATTCAGTTTCGTTTGACAAATGCGCGATCTTCAGATGAATTAGAACTCTACTAAACCAAAAAAGAAAAGGCAATGTGAAAGAGTAACGACAATACCCCGGTGCCGTTGTCGCAAACGACGACGTTCCTACTGTCCATCTTGTAGCTATTCAGTTGGATCAATCATGGACTCGATTTTCCTTTAAGTTTTTTTGTCTTGCGCTAACAGCAAAGATCAAAGCTTTTAGTTGGTGATGGTCATGGACTAGCTCCGGCTACCGGAAGTTAAAAAATATTTTTCGTTTGAGTCCTTCAATTTGGTAATTTTGTACTTTTTACCTCTTTGGTGAACTTTCCTGCATAATCAATCCCTTCGATTATGTTTATTATAAATTTGTCTAATTATCCGCTCAAAATTCTAATTTTGTTTCATAACAAACATAAAATTGATTTTTGAGAATACTAATGACAACTAGTTAAAGTTATACAAATATAATATTTCTAGAATATTTATGTTTTTATTAATTCAGTATTTCACACATCTTTTCCATAAAAATTTATAAAAAAATTCTTAAACTCTTCATGTGCAAGTCTAGTCATATTCTCAGTCTCAAGCTTAGATAAAGAAAGAGAGAATTGTGGTATATTAACAGTTAATAGTAAAATTAGTCAATTTATGATTATTTATCACAATACAAAATATGTTATCGTGTTGCCGAACACACTATAGTGTTGTAACAAACAAAAGTGTATTTTAAAAAGATTAAAAGTGGTAGAACATAAAAATAACACATTAAAGCGTTACCATAAATACTCTGAAAGATTTATATATCAGCTTGTTTGGATGGTTGTTACTCATTGTATCATATTGTATTGTTATTCCAAAACAATGTTTGTTTTGATTGTTTAGTTAAAATTGGTTGTATTTTATTGTTAATTCATTGTCCGGAACAATGAAAAATCTCATTTTTTTTTTTAAACAACCGATTTGGTGTGGTGAGTTTTTTATACAATACAATACATTATGAAACGATTGATAAGAATGAACCAAACAGCGTAAATGGTCGAAACATTTTAGTTAGTGGTTTTAGAGGACTAGAATTGATGTTGAGCAAATCACAAATGCCCCCTCATACATGATGGGAAAGCAGTTAGCTAACTTACGAGTGATTCAAAAATTATTATGTTTCGCAAAAGAGAGCGAAAATAAGAAAGGAAAAGCCTTTTAAATTGACCTGGTTATGTATTACCCAAAAAAAGATTCTCTATGTATTATTGTTCTCGGTTCTGTATTCTCATATGTATATTGATGTGTCCGCTGCCTCCTGCATTAATCATATGGTGAAGACCCATTTATAGAGCATTCTGAATGTACAAACATGTGGTATGTCATCTGTAAGCCATTTCTTTCCCCAAGTCATTAGTAGAATTGAGACGGTTTTCTTGTATAACTTGAAATAACTTGAGAATTTGATCTGGTTTTGAAGAAGATGAGATTGATGCCAATATTTCATTGCTCAGTGCCTGATGCATCGAAGGAGATTTGCCTTGAATACACTTCAAATGTTCAACAGCCAAACTTATTTCTCCAGTATCGGCTAAAAATTTAAGAAAAATCAGATGGGAGTCTAAAAATGCAATATCAGTGCTTTGGCCACGAAGTAACTCCATTGCAGGAAGCAAATAACCTGCAATTATAGGATAACACTTGAATTAGAAAAGAAACTACTTTTGCAGTTAATATATAATCATAAGGGTTGCCATTATCACACGAGTTTAACTTCAATACACTAATAGAACTACCTGGTAAATAATGCAAGTTACCTGGTAAAATAATGCAAGTTACCTGGTAAACATGTTAAAATACATTAATAATGTAAGAATTCTTTACACTAATAGTGTCTATAAGTTAAATCTTTATAAAAATGCGGAGTTATACCTTCCTTGCAGAGGCTGAGGATGAACGTACACAATACGGATCGTGCAACGGTTGGATCCTGCATAGCACATTTGTTGAAGACTTCAAGAGCCATTTTGAGATTTTTTGCTTGACAAAGCCCTTTAAGGACTGAATTGTATATAATAGCATCAGGTACTACTCCTTTCTCTGTCATGTCATTGAAAAGCCTACAAGCATCTTCAATTTCACCTTCTTCTGAACACTTCTGAATAAGAATATTATACGTCTCTAAATTACCAGGGCACCCATTTGTGAACATCTCATCCCACAACCGTTTAGCTGGTCGTAGTAGATCCTCTCGACAGCAAGCTTCTAGCAGGAGATTGTAAGATTGTATATCAGGAACTGCACCTTTTCTTCTCATGTCACGAAGAACCTCGTAAGCTTCTCTAACTTTACCAGCCTTGCACAAAAATGAAACCATAATATTATAGCTCTGTGTGTCACTAAAATAGTTTCTAGCAGACAACTTTTGAAATACTTCTAGCAATTCATCAATCTTTCCATGCTTACAAAGGTTTGCACTTAAATTTGTCACAGTAACAAGATTAGGCTCCGTTTCTCTACCCAGCATGAAGTTTAAAAAGAAGATGGCGAGTCCAGGATCAATAGCTGATACCGATCCTATCAAAGCATTGAGCAGATCATCATCCATTGGAAAGTTCCCAGATGCAATTACTTTGCCCAACTCTTTAGCTTCGGAAATCAGCCTCTCTGAAATTAAATCAAAGATGAAATCTTTATAATCATTATTCCTTGGTGCCACCCCTAGTTTTCTCTTCTTCTTTAAAACAAACTCTCTGTCAACTACGTTTCGCATACTCCCCAACGCTTCAGCAACAACGCTATAAGCAATAAAATCAGATTTACATTCCCTTATCCTCAATTCATCAAAAGCAGAAACAGCTTCAGCTATCCTAGACCCAGAGCATAACCCTTGTACGACTAGAACTGCAACAACGGATCCATTAATCCCCGAAAAGTCAATCTTCCGCACCTCATCTAACAAACTCAAACTCTTTTCCAATCCATTAAATCCACAGAATCTCCACAGAAACACACCAAAACCAAGAGTATTCAATCGAACACCTCTGCGATTCATTTCGTCGAACACCTGGAAAGCACATTTATAGTTCCCTTCCGATGACAGAGCAGCAAGAAGTGAATTACAAGTTTGGGATCCAATCTCTGATGCCAAAGAAGGAACCTCACTGAAAATGGAAAATGCTAAGTGGGATTTCTTACCAATGATCTGGGAAGCAATGACAGAACGATAAAGCGAAGGATGAAGGCGGATTTTCTGGGCTTTTACCTGCTTAAAGAGCTTATCAAGGGTATTGAACTGACGGGAAATGCAAAGAGACTTGAGAATGGAATGGTAAGTAGAGGAGTCGTGGGAGAATCCAGGTTGCTGAGAGGCCCAGTTGAAGAAACCAAGAGCAAGGGAATGGTGGTGGACAAGGAAAGGGTCGATGACTCGGGCGACGAGTGTTGGACTGAGAGATTCCCGACATCCGAGACTGTACAGCGTTTGCTCTAACGCTGGAGTCCATGTTTGACTTGGGCTGCTTTGCTTTGATCCGTGGATGAGACCCCGGCTTATTGCACTTGCCAATTCCCCCACTGATCGTTTCATCATTTTATACGGTCTGTTTTCTGTGCGCTTAAACGCTTTACCCTTATGTTTTGATGGAATGCTTTTTCCTTTTTAAAGACCAAAGGTTAATATCGCAGAAACTGTAAAATAGCTAAATAATCATAACGTCATTAGTACTACAATATAATCGTTTGCATGCTGCTATACAGTTCGGAAACAGCCTCTCTACTCCTCCGGAGTAGAGGTATTGTTGTTGTTGTTGTGGAACCAATAACAGACGCAGAATAGTTTGTTGCGGAAAAGTTCACATTCGCGAGTACGACAAGGGAAGCCAATAAGCCATAACAGCTCCCAAACGTTAGTTGAATTCACTGGAAAAAATTATTAGGAGCACAATGCTATTGTAGAAAAGAATAGATAAAGTATTACTGCATTAGCATAGCAGAGTGCAGACTATAGGAAAAAACAAACGTCAGCAAAAGGCAGGACTGAGGAAACCAAATGGCTTTTAGCCAAGGCAAGTTTTCATTTGATCTAAACCCACAGTTGCCAAAAAACCACACTAAGCTCTTACACATATTTTGTTTTCTCCACAGTATAAGTATCTGTACAAGTTATCATAGTCTACTTTATAGTTGTGTTCTCTTTCCTAGCTGAGAGTGAATACTGTACAAAGTATATAGTATGGATATATGCACCTATACAATAACCATGTATATACAGAGACCCCTTGGCTATATCTGCTAGTGCTGATGTTTCAGAGTTTCTTTTATCAGTATTCTTGGTACTATATCACTATCTACATGGTCTATCTAATGGTCACTATTTACATAAAACTAACAGGTCTTCACCAATGGGTAGGATATCTATTTACACTTCCTATTTGTTATCTGACATCTCCATTCTGGCATATGTACAAAGTTTTCCATTCTTCTACAGGCAGCCACTTAAGTGTAGTATTTCATCAGATTCAGATTTTGGAGGGTTCTAACTTTGAAGAGATTCCCAAAGAGGTAACTGATTGTTCCTTCTTCAGGTAGCTTTGCTGAATGACAAGGATTCCACTTAACATGCAGAATATTTTGTCCAACTTGCTCACAAATTGAGTCAACTGTCTTTTGGTCAACTGGATTCCCAGTCACATCTGTGACATAAAAGATATCCCTTGCCTTCCCACCTTCTGTTGAGATTTCAGCTCTTTTAACGCACAAACTATTCTCCCTGAATATCCTAGTGATATCTGATAGTAGTCCTAGCCGATCTTCTGTACACAATTCTAGCTCCAAACCCTGCAGAAAGCTAGCACATATTAGTGGGCTCGTGCTAGAGAAAGCTTTAAGAACATAAAATCCTCTTGTCTCGGAATCAGTTTCTTTACCTCAGAGGCTCTTCTCTCAATAGCTGCTTCAAGGCACTGTATCACACGATCTCGCTCAGCCTCCGAGCTTATTGGAAGCCCGTCAACATGTCGAATGTAGAATTCCTGCAGCAGGCCAAATTAAGGTTGACAAATTGATATAAGAGATGACTTAAAGCTAAAATGCCATCTCATTGACACATAATAAACCAAAACTAATCTGCTACTTCAACTGAACGATGCTTTTCTTGAATCAGTACCGCTAGAAAGACCATCAATTACTGTCCACATAAAAACTAACGTTACCTGATAAGCTTCCTTCTTCCCTGTGTGAACAACTCCATGAAAGACCACATACTGCATGTCAGTTAAAGTGCAGACAATATCAAACAACAGCTTAGGCCGATCCCTTGACCTCATAGTGATCACAGTGTAATCCTTTTCGCTACAATCATAAACATTTATACAAGGACTGGACTTCAAATCCTCAACTTTGCCCTGCTCTGCTCTTCTAACCTTTACATAGTCCCTATCAGCAAACATTATCTGGTGTAATCTTCTCTCCCGGTGCGTAAATCCAGGAGGTGAAAGTGCCATCTTTGCAGTCTTCAAATCATTGTTACACTTGAGAACATTGTGAAGTAGCTTCTTGATTGTAGCAAGACGTTTTGGGTCTTCAATTGCACAACCTGTAATGTTATCGACTACATGAACCACAGCTGCAGCCCTAGCATTATGTGTCCATATTGCAGCATTCACCACATTACATCTAAGGTCAGCAAGAACTGCGCACACTTCAGACAATAAACCAGGTCTATCAGTCCCACTTAGTTCAATGGACGTGTGCTCTTCAGAAGGCATCAAGCCAACAGTTTCTCTCAAAGAGGGTAGCAGAACTTCATCATTTTCAAGTGTCTGTACAACAGAAAATTGGAAGAATTTAGGGTGCACGTGCAACTTTGAATAAGGGAGGAAATAAAAGAAATCAACATAATCATTTGCATTTAAGATTCTTGTCTTCTCCAGCCTATTTACTTTTTTGGGGCAAAAGACAAACTTTAAGGGCACGTTTGGTTACAGGTATAAGCAAAAACAATCATGGTATAAAAATTTGTACAAATTTATACAGTGGTTGAATTATAAAATCATGCAGGGTTTCGCAACAGTGACCAAACATTGTATAACTAATAGCCCGTTTGGCCAAGCTGCAAAAATCAGCTTATTTTGAGAAGTGTTTTTCTCAAAAATACTTTTGGTGAGAAGTAGTTTGTGTTTGGCTAATTAGTTTGAAAAGCAATTCTGAGCAGCAATTAGTGTTTGGCCAAGCTTTAAAAAACTGCTTCTAAGTGTATTTTTCTAAGTGCTTCTCAAAAAAGTGCTTTTGGAGAGAAGCTACTTTTTCTGCTTCTCCAAAATTGCTTCTGCTTCTCCTCAAAAGTACTTTTTCCTTCCAAAAGCTTGGTCAAACACCTCAATTTTTGGCCAAAAGTGCTTTTGGCAAAAAAAAAAAAGCACTTTTGGCCAAACAGGCCATAATACGGGTACAAGTTTTATGGGAGTCTATCTATTATTGTACATGGAATAGAAGGTGGAATAAGTAATACACGTTTTAGCAATACGTGGATAAGAACATAGTAAATAAGTACACTTATAATTGATATATTCATAAATAAAAATCCCCATATAATTTATTCACCGTATATTAATTCATGCGTAATTTATTCTCCATCAACAGTCCCGTATATTTGTTCTCCACATAATAATCCATGCATATCACAATATAACTAATCCCTCAAACAAATGACCTAAAGGATCAAGCTTGCTTTGCTTATAAACCATGGTATTATACTGCGATGAAGATTGTCCAAGGAATAAGAGGCCCTTAATATGAATACCTTTTGAATATAGTTGATGATTTCTTCATCTCTAACTTTATTTCCATCTTGATCAGTCACATTAAAAACTGAAAAAATAATATATAGAGAATAGTTAGTGGAAATTCAATTTCCAAAAGGAATTCCTTGACCTTCAAGTAAATAAGCAGAGCTTTACCATCCATGAACCAACCCCCATCAGAGGAAATGTATGCTTTAGTGATAACAAGGTTCAAATCTGTCAGAACCTGTACAACTTGAAGAAGAATCCCATGCTTGTTGACACTATCAACCTGCCCAAATTTGAGCACAACATAAATATTTTAAGCACAGAAAGTGAAATCTTTTACTAGTTGATTGGATGCCTAGAGACTGACAGAGAGAAACAGAAAATATGGACCTTTTTTTTTTTTTGGGGGGGGGGGGGGGAGGGGGGAGGGGGAGGGGGTGTAGGACATGCCTGGATAATGGTTGCATCCTCGCAGGAGTCGTTGTCAATTACCACTCTGTAACAAGAAAAACAAAGGTTAAAGAGAGAAAAAAGGGATTTTCCTTCATAAACCCTAATTAAATAAACCACTTGATCAGTTCTCGAGTGGAAAAGCAATTCTTGGACAGGGGAAAGGAAAAGTTGACAAGAAGAAGACCAAGGAAAATAATCAAAACAAGTCACTCCTAACAACAGAAGAAAAGCTCAGATAGTAATCAAATTTTACTTTGGGCTACCCCGAAAGAAAATTAGCGGCTGTGCTGCGTCGGACACTGAGTCAAAGGAAAAAATGGAGAACGAGGAAGAGAGAGAGAAGTACCTGGGAGGATTCATCCTCCGAATAAGCTTGGCATACTCGTCATCCATGTCTATGATGATGGTCTCAGAAGAAGAATTTGTTTGATTAATAAGCAGAAGGAGAAGAATAGTGGGGCTGAAAAAGATAAGAACATAATGAAGAAAGGGTTAAAATAGAATAAGTCTCCAATGTCCCTGGAACCTAAGCAAAGGCTGATGATATTTACAGAGAGAGAGAGTAAAGTGACGCTTTAAGGAGTGGAAAAGGCACCAATTTGGAATTGGGATTATGAAACAGAAAGCCGCACCACTATTTGACCATTACCTATTGCAGAATTAAGCGCCTCCTTTTCTTTTGTCCAAGGCCGGTGACTACCGCCCACCATTTGGGACGCTTTTCTTTTAAGGAAAAGGTCTAAATTTAGCCTGGTTAAATTGGTCAGTTTATTTTATTATTAATTTTTTTTTATCTTATTTTGTTGTTAGAAATAAAATTACTTTTATCCTTAGTTCTTAATTGAGCTCCAATAATATGGTAACTTTTTAAGACGTATTTTAAAGATGTTAGTTCACCCATTTTATGCTACTACTTTATTAATGGCAAGAAATAATAATTTTTTCGGTCCACAATAAGTGACCATTTCACATTTTTATTTTGGTCCAAAATAGTGTCCATTTATATAATCAAGAAGGAATTAATTTTATTTTTTCAAAATTTGCCCTTATTTATATATTCTAATTTGTCAATGTAACAATTATTTAAGATTAATTTAGTGAATACATATTTTTTGCTCTAAGAGTTCGTATTTCTTAATGGATTTGCCAAAAGGTAAGATGATCGCTTATTGTGGACCGGAGGGAGTAACAATTTAGACTTAAACTTCTTATCTTATTGTAAATAACATAATTTTTTTTCTTAAATTTCGAGTTTATTTACATAGATTCACATTAAATAAATCAACAACAACAATAACAACAACAACAACAAATCCAATAGTTTCTCACAAGTGGGGTCTGGCAAGGGTAAGATGTACACAGCCTTACCACTACTCCCAGAAGGGCAGAGACCCTCGGCTAGAAATCGACCGAAAAAGAAAAGATAATTGTAACAAGTAGGAATAACAGCAAGATGAAATAAGATCGAATCCAAGAATGCAGTCAAACTCTAAATAGTAATAGCCATCTATGGATAAAAAATAACATACAGCTCCAGCAAAGAGAGTAATAAATAATATCGGTCAACTTAATTCGGGGAATGGTGTGTCTCTTTGGCGGCATTTCCCGCATGACTCACTTGTTTTCTGGCCATGTTCTTCAAATGCTTAGCTCTCTCCCTCACCCTCTAATTAAGCCTAACATAGTTCGGCGGACATGGATTTTTTTCGCCAAGTCAATGACTAGTGGTAGGCCTAAATCTTCTCTATAGTCTACCCATGCAATTTTCAACTTTCCCTCCTAATATGGACCCTTTTCCTATTCCTGATACGTATGTTTTTACGACGTGTTCTCCAAATTATTCTTTTCCAAATCCTACATCAATTTCTACCCATTTTTACTGGATTTGCAAAGGATTGGATGGATAATGAATACATGAATCCCCCATTCTAAACTCCCAAAAACCGACAAAGAAAACATCGGTAGTGACTCGGCCTAAATATGTGATAGTAGTTAGTCGACACTGATTTCACTACTTTTAGCAAGACAAACCATATAGTTGAGTAACAAAATTCGACTCTATCATATCTTAATAATATCGACATTTGATGTCTACTTTTGAAGTCGGAGGTTATTAGGAAAAAGCTAGAATATAGATAAAGTAGTCACTATTCACTAATCAACCATATGTTGTTTGAGAACGTCCACGTTGATGTTTTCTGTATCGTTCTTCTTGGCTCCTATCAGATAATATTGGATAACGCATTCATCAAACTTGCAAAATTTTTAATCCTGACCCAGATAATTTTGAGTTCACGCCATTCTGTCTCCAACAACAAAAACCAACTTTTCATTTCTTTCTTTCACAGAAAAATAAAATTTTCATACAACTTCTTGTATGGGTCAAAATCAGATTAGAGAAATTCGGCACGCCGAGACAACAAGCCGAGGTCGGGCAGGCTAAGGTCGGACAGTCATTAATAAGGCCGAGGTCGGGCAGACCGAGGTCGGACAGTCATCAATAAGGCCGAGGTCGGGCAGACCGAGGTCGGACAGTCATCAATAAGGCCGAGGTCGGGCAGGCCGAGGTCGGACTGAGCTCAATAAGACCGAGGTCGGACAGTCATCAATAAGGCTGAGGTCGGGTAGTTCGACGTCAGACAATCATCAATAAGGCCGAGGTCGGGCAATGATGAAACAGCTAGTTTGCTTTGGAATCCTCAAAAGGAATATCCTACTGAATATTCCCTCTATTTGTACCCATTTTTTAGGGTTTTCTAGGAATACCCCTTATAAATAAGAAGAGAGAACTTCCCAAAAGGGGGCTCTCTCTCTCTCCCTCTCTCTAGAAAATAAGTAGACACTCCTCTTTAAAGAGATTAGAGGATCTGTGATCTCAGACCTTCATGAGATCCAAAAAGGGTCCTAAGGTTCTTATATTTATCTATCATTCATCTTAAATCAAATGAGAGAGGATACGCCTTAGGTGACTCTTTTTCTTTATTTACATTTTATTACCATTTAATGTTACTTAATGCATCTCTCTTTATGCTATATAATCTGGCCATAATCACTGCCAGCATTTATACTCAGCTATATTTTTTCTATTCATATTATTCATTTCGGATCTAGAATTAATTATCCTTAACTACGATTTACCCTCCATCTTCTTATTTAATTAGTTTAACAAAAAAAGGTCTTATAATTTTTTTGCTCAAACAATTTGGCGCCGTCTGTGGGGATTTTCTAGTTAAAATTTTAGTTTCCTCTAGATCTATAATTCGATTCTAGCAAGTTCGAAGAGTAGCGTCGATGTTTGGAATTGCTGCACAAAAAGAGGATCAAAATCTATCCAGATCTAGATCTTGCCGAAAAAGGAAAAATTCCGGCGATTACAATGATCTCATTCTTATTTGACTGTGTACAGATTTATCATTATTACAATGATCCCTCCGACTCATAGACTAAACATATCTCTCACAATTACCTAAAATTCCTTAAAACAAACGTGACTAGCAATTGATTTTGCTACGAAAAGGAAATTTCTTCAACCCCATTTGCTCCCATCGGATGAAAGATATCCTTTTTCTCTTTCGTTTTCATTGTGCGGGAATTGTATCCAGTTGCAAAAGATTCAGTATATAAGATATGGTTCTTGAAGTTAATATATCTTCACCTCATATGAGGTCACAGACGCAGACTGCATTTTCAACTTCATCATCATTAAAAAGACAACATTCACGAGGTGATGAATTTGGGAGTTGTTCGACTCTGCTTCAGCGTCACCGCTTCCTGCTAACTGCGCTTGCCCTCCTAGCATTTCTTTGCACTAGATCAAATCGAGGAAACGCCTCATATTCTCCAATGCAAGCAAAATTAAGCAAACCGGGACTCACCCAGAAAACGCAGAAGCTAAGCGAAATTGGGACTCATCCCGAGGACACCCGAAACTCTCCAAAAACTAGGACTCACCCAGAGGACACCCGAAACTCTCCAAAAATTGGGACTCACGACGGGTTAACATCTCGACCAGCTCGAAATAACACCCCTATGGCCAAGGGCCATCGCCAAAAAGAAGAGTTCGACCCCGTTCGAACTACGACGGGTTAACATTTCGACCAGCTCGAAATAACACCTCTACGGCCAAGGGCCATCGCCAAAAAAGAAGAGTTCGACCTCGTTCGAACCACGGCGGGTTAAAGTTTCAGCCTTAGCTCGAAATAACACCCCTACGGCCAAGAGCCATCGACAAAAAAGAATTTGACCTCGCTCGAATTACAACCTTCGGCCTCGTCCGAATCTACTTCGGTCCCGTCCAAATCAACTTCGGCCTCGTCCGAATCTACCTTCGGCCTCGTCCAAATCTACTTCGGCCTTGTCCGAATCAACCTTCGGCCTCATCCGAATCAACCTTCAGCCTCGTCCGAATCAACTTCGGCCTCGTACGAATCTACTTTTGGCCCTGTCCGAATCTACTTCGGCCCCGTCCGAATCTACTTCGGCCCCGTCCGAATCAACATCCGGCCTCGTCTGAATCACCTTCGGCCTCGTCCGAATCAACTTCAGCCTCGTCCGAATCTACCTTCGGCCTCGTCCGAATCAACATTCGGCCTCGTCCGAATCAACTTCGGCCTCGTCCGAGTCTACCTTCGGCCTCGTCCGAATCAACCTTCGGCCTCGTCCGAATCAATTTCGGCCTCGTCCGAATCTACCTTCGGACTCGTCCGAGTCAACTTCAGCCTCGTTCGAACCAACCTTCGGCCTCGTTCGAATCAACTTCGACCTCGTCCGAATTCACATTCGGCGACCTCGCCCGAATCAACATTCGGCGACGTCGTTAGAATTCACATTCGGTTACCTCGCCCGAATTCACATTCGGCGACCTCGCCCAAATTCACATTCGATGAACTCGTCCGAAATCACATTCGGTTTCCTCGCTCGAATTAACATTCGGCCTCCTCGCCCGTCCAGATCCGAGGACACGAATGACCTCCTTCGATGCCGTCATCCTGGCCTCGACGGCCTTCTCCAACTCTACCATCTTCTCGATCGACTCATCACTCGAGTCATTGGCCCTGATCAAACTCTTCTCAAGTTCAGCCTGCGGGGATACAACGTTGACCTAAAGATTGACACCCTCAGCCCCGATCCGCACTAGTTGACCTCCCCATCTGAATTTCTCGAACTACGATTAATGAAGTCCGATCACCGAGCTTGACCAAAAAGACGACCTCGATAAGCGGAGGGACTAACTGTATGGGTCAAAATTGGATCAGAGAAATTCGGCACGCCGAGACAACAGGCCGAGGTCGAGCAGGCCGAGGTTGGACAGTCATGAATAAGGCCGAGGTCGGACAATCATCAATAAGGCCGAGGTCGGACAGAGACCAATATGGCCGAGTCGGGCAGGCCGAGGTCAGACAGTCATCAATAAGGCCGAGGTCAGACAGGCCGAGGTCGGACAGTCATCAATAAGGCCGAGGTCAGGCAGTTCGACGTCGGACAATCATCAATAAGGCTGAGGTCGGGCAGTGATGAAACATCTAGTTTGCTTTGGAATCCTCAAAAGGAATATCCTACTGAATATTCCCTCTAATTGTACCTTTTTTTAGGGTTTTCTAGGAATACCCCTTATAAATAGGAAGAGAGGACTTCCCAAAAGGGGCCTCTCTCTCTCCCTCTCTCTAGAAAATAG